GCCGTTGCACACTAACACATAAATATATAGTTTGTTTTTGTGTGTGTGTGTTTGTGTGTTTGTGTGTGTGTGTGAGGATTTATTTTTGTGTTATATATTTATGTGTATATATTTATGTGTTAGTGTGCAGCGGCAGCAATGGCGGCAGTCATCGTTTGTTGAAGAAGTTTGTGAGCGTTTGTTGACGAGACATTTACAGGAAATTGTCGGCAAGAATAAGTAAAAGAGAGTATAGAAACATTAAGACTTTGGTAGTAAATTGTTTTCGTATTTATTTAGCATTATATTTTATTGAAACGCTCCAAGTGCCTGTGGGCTTAGACCTTGCTTACACGTAGGATAGATCTACTAAAAAGAAAATTGTCGTTGTCTCTCTCTCTCTCTCTCTCTCTCTCTCTCTCTCTCTCTCTCTCCGTCTCTGGCTTGGTCCTTTGGACTTTTGAAGATTGTCTCCAATATATATATATATTATATATTATATATATATATATATATATATATATATATATATAATATGTTGTCTGCAGATCATATATATATACATAGAGAGAGAGAGAGTGCACCAACAAAAATGTGCAACCCTACGCCAATCTATAAAACTCTATAGTATTTTTCCTGTCTTATGTCGTGTGTGTGCGTGTACACACGCGCGCTCAGAGAAGTGTATCTGTGTCTCTGAGTCTCTCTTCTTAAAACTGCTAATCTACAGCGAACGAAGCCACCTGTTTATACTTCCGTTCACATCTCCGATTGACGGCTAATGATACACACGTTTATTTCAACATTACTTTACCTCCCGTGTGTGTCTGTGTATGTGTGCGTGCGTTCGTGCGTTCGTGCGTGTGTGTATTGTGTATCTATTAAGCGTTATATACGCAGCTGATGCACGCTAAAGTAACTGACTATATAACTCATATATCTTCCTAACGACCTTACCTATTTCATTATCATTTAAGACGGTTATCGTGACGGTACGTAAGACGGACAAGTGTTACATGCGTTTTTCGGCTGCCATTTGTTTAGATCCGGGAAATTGGCCACACTAAAACCGGCCGCCGTCAATATACGGTATACCAATTAACCGCACGCACACGCACACACATTGACTCTTTCGTAACGGGGCGGAATTTTGCTTGCTCGACCAGCGAAGTCCAGCGAAGTACAGCGAAACGAAGCGAACATACCCTAGTCTAATTTGTACTTGCTCGACCAGCTTAGTCCAACGAAGTCCAGCGAAACGAAGCAAACATGTCCCTGCTCTGTATTTCGTTTGCTCGCGCAGCGAATGCGAGCGAAACGAAGCGAACATGCCCCCGCTCTGTATTTCGTTTGCTCGCGCAGCGAAGGTGAGCGAAACGAAGCGAACATGCCCGCGCTCTGTATTTCGCTTGCTCGCGAAGGCGAGCGAAGCGAAGCGAAGCGAAGCGAAGCGAACATGCCCCCGCTCTGTATTTCGCTTGCTCGCGAAGCGAAGGTGAGCGAAACGAAGCGAACATGCCCGCGCTCTGTATTTCGCTTGCTCGCGAAGCGAAGGCGAGCGAAGCGAAGCGAAGCGAACATGCCCCCGCTCTGTATTTCGCTTGCTTGTGCAGCGAAGGCAAGCGAAACGACGCGAAGATGGCCCGCTCTGTATTTCGTTTGCTCGCGTAGCGAAGGCGAGCGAAACGAAGCGAACATGCCCCCTCTCTGTATTTCGCTTGCTCGAGCAGCGAAGGCGAGCGAAACGAAGCGAACATGCCCCCGCTCTGTATTTTGCTTGCTCGCGCAGCGAAGGCGAGCGAAACGAAGCGAACATGCCCCCGCTCTGTATTTCGCTTGCTCGCGCAGCGAAGGCGAGCGAAACGAAGCGAACATGCCCCCGCTCTGTATTTCGCTTGCTCGCGCAGCGAAGGCGAGCGAAACGAAGCGAACATGCCCCCGCTCTGTATTTCGCTT